GGCAGAAAGAAGCGGTGTCCTGGTTCAATGCATTAGAGGTGAACATGTTACAGTCTGCTGTTCTCTGTGTTGTGCAGTCACACCAGGGTGGAAATGCCTGGAAAGGTCTTAAATAAGCACTTTCACTAAACTCAAAATAGATTAACAATATAATAATCTAAAAATATTAATGGAACGATTGAAATTAGGCAAGTAGGAGATGATATTGTGCATTTGATGAAGCTCGTACTTGCTGCTTGGTTGGTTGTGTCCGACTCTGCTGCGGTCACGTCCTGTGATAGTCTAATCAGGGCAAAGTTGATAATACAATCCAATATTGAATTCTCAGAGAAGCGTGTTTAGTTTCACACAGTAAGCATTTCCACAGACTTTGTCTTTCTCTCTCTGTAATGACAGAAATCTCGTGAGGCCAACAGGGATCTGCAGATCGAGTTGGATCAGGTTCTTCAGCAGGCCCAGGATCCAAACAGCAAAGGGAACTCACTGTTTGCTGAGGTGTGTCACACTTTCCTTTGGCAGCAGGTCTCTCTGTAAGTCCAGAGTTGTGCTTGAATCAAACCTGGAACCTCAGTAAATGGCTCCATGTTGTGTTGCAGCTGGAGGATAAGCGGGCTGAGATGGAGAGGCAGCTCATCAGTGTGAAGGTCCAGTACCAGTCGCTGCAGAAAATACACGCCTTTAGCAAACAGCAGATGCAGCGCTTGAAGGTAGCGTGCGATAGCTCATCTGGTCGGTCGCCGGTTTGTAACTGGTTGGTGGTTGGCTGACAGTATGCATGTGCGTGTTTGGTGCAGGTGCAGATAGCCACTCTGATGCAGCTGCAGGGCTCCAGGGCTGACCCTGCTCAGCTGGAGAGACTGCAGTCCATGCTGTCGGAGAAAAATGGAGAGATCCAGAATCTGATGACTAAACTGCAGAGGCTGGAGAAGGTGGAGGTGAGAACGTAACAGTCAGTGCAGTTTGTAGAACGACTTCACGTTCAGAAAGTGTGTGCGCTCGTGCGAGAGTAACACCTGCCCTGTTCCACAGACAATTACACAAAATGCTTTTAGAGCAGATTTACTTCACGTTAGTCCTACTTACTGGAAAAAACGTTCCCAGCAGACTGAGCGGCGCTAGCATAGCATTTATAAATTAGAGCTGGATATTAACAAGTCCAAAATCTACAGCAAACTACAGGCTCAGATGGAGCGATGTCTCTAGCAAATGGGATGTTTTCTGCTTTAACAGGAGCTCGGCTAAGCCTCACATAACATGAACTTGTGCTGTTTTACTTATGAGATAAAATGCTGCAGCTGCTCTCCTAGATTCGGACACACAGTCACATGTTGTTTGTTCCGTGTGTAGATGTTGTTGAAGTCTCAGCCAGCTAATCCGGCTCCAGCCGGTGATGGAGATGGCCAGGATGAAACATACTACACTGACCTGCTCCAAATGAAGCTCAGCAACACTGTGTGAGTTTGGCTGTTTTCTGGCCTTTTGCTTGACCATCTACAGGTTTACTAGAAATATAATGATCTGAATAAAAGAAAGAAATTGTCAGTTGGCCTTTCTTGCCATCAAAATGAGTCTGGATCCATATTTTGGGACAGATGTATCCATAAATGTCTGATTATTGGCTCGTTAGAACAGCATACAATCTTGGTTCACTTTCATGGTAAATGGACTGATACAGTGATTATTCTGCTCTGCTTGAACACTGAAAGTGCTTTAAAGAAAGGTCAGTGAAACAATGTTAAACAATTTATCTTTAATGTGAGATATTCAGGTTGACACAATGAGAACGCGTGAAAAACATGTTGGAAATGTAGCTTTAAAAAACGAAACAAAAAAGACAACAGGTTGGATCGATGGGAAAAATACATTACAGGTAAATTTCTGTGAAGAAGCCAGTGCTTTGAGCCCCATTCATCGGGAGACAAGTTGAAGTCTGCCACCTTATAGACGGTCCTTGGGGTGCTTAATGTAACAGTGTTGTTGGACTTGGATGAAAGTGGGAAAACGGCCACAGTAATTAGGCTCAGACGTTAGAATAGAAGTAGAATCACTGTGCAGCTGAAGAAACCATTGCAGAACAAAAGAGGTTTTATCCATTTATAACGGATTTTTCTGTCTTTCGATCTTTATGCAGGAAGTCTGGGTCAGGTGGTTGGTTTTCTTGGCTTCATGAAGCAGTGCTTAATTGTAAAACACATATTTGTCTGCACTGGGAAGATTTGATATTTTCAGGATTCAAAATGAACTGTTACTGTAACAAAGAAGGCTAGACTTCAGTTATTTCATCTACATAACTTTGTGTGTGTGTGTGTGTGTGTGTGTGTGTGCGTGTGCGTGTGCGCGTGTGTGTGTGTGTGTGTGTTAGTAAGGATGCAGAGCGTCTGAGAGATGAGCTTTCTCTTCAGAGGATGAAGTCTTTGTCAGAGAGTCAGAGAGCTCTGGAGCTGGAGAGGAAACTCTTCACATCTGAGCGGCTGCTCAAACAGGTAACAGGCTGCTCTGACTGCAGCACTTCCCTGTGTTAGTATCTCTTACAGGTGCCGTTTAAAACTACAAAGCAGATGGAAGCACAAGAGGTAGTGTTTTACCTCTAGGTAGTGTTTTCTGTGGAAATCTTAAATAATTATAAAATGACATCTAAAAAAGTAACAATACTAAAATAACTTCATGGTTTTACAGTAATCGTGTAGCTCTAGTTGGTATATGTACTTGGTTTGTTTCTTCTACTGAGCTGTAAATTTGAGCCCCATGATGGGATTTTTGTAAGGAATGTGGACTATTGTATCTGCTGCGATCTTATATTTGCTATTTGATTGGATATTTCCATTTCCTGCTGCAGGCTCAGAGTGACAAGATCAAGTTACAGTTGCGAGTAGAGGAGCTCCAACACAAATATGAGCCAAAAGGTATGTAGCATAGCGCGCCCGCTCTGTACACATGCGCCGGGGTTGTTGCAGCTCTGTAACTGTGCTGTCACCTGCAGAGGCAAAGAAGAATCTCATCCAGAAGAGAAAGAGAGAGAAACTTCCTGTTGACATCACACCCTCCGTGGAGGAGGCACCCCTGGACCGGACCAAGGAGGCCGTTGCTGTGGTGACAGATACAGCGGACCCCGAGGCTGACATGCGTCCTCCACTGAGCTCCTCAGCAGGTGTTTCAGAGGCTGAGCCACGGCCTGCAAAGTGTGTGAAGATCAGTGAAAACGAAGCTAGTGTAATTCCCAACCCCAGGTATGTACTAACAGCAGGGATGTGTACGACCAACTAAGTTCTTGGGAGTTTAGCGTTGGCTTTAACCCCGACCTTGCAGAGACGCCAAGGTAGTTTACATGACTGTACATAAATTTCTGTCCACAAGTTGCAGCTAAGGCATAAATACTGGGGATTTTTCTGTTTAGGGGATTGTTAGTAACATGTTGTCTGTATTTGTTAAACTGGAAGGATTTCATGAGTTTTAATCTTTGGTTTTGAAAAGTTGAGGCATTGTTCTCTGTAATATCTATGCTCCTCGTGATGAAGATGTTGGGGTGATTGTGATTGGCAGTTTGATTCTAGTCCACAGTGTGATCTTTGAGTGGAAAATTTAATGTTTCTTGGTTGTTTTTCCAGTAGAATTTGTAGTCGGTGTTATTGGAAACACTGATAGTTGGTATAGGAGAGAATGTTTGTCTCCACTGTTGCAATTTGGCCAACAAAAAAAGGCCTTTGATAGCAGAGCATGACTTTGGTCTTCCACCCCTCACCGCTCATGGCAGATGCCCCACCCCCCCGGAGCCTGGTTCTGATGGAGGTTTCTTCCTGTTAAAAGGGAGTTTTTCCTTTCCACTGTCCCAAAGTGCTGCTCATAGGGGGTCATATGATTGTTGGGGTTCCTCTGTTTTCTCTGTTGTCTTTACCTTACAATCTAAAGCACTGTGAGGCAACTGTTGTGATTTGGTGCTATATAAATAAATGTTTCATGTTGGGAGGGAAGAATTGTGAGCTGTAGAAGCTCGGGCATCCTTAAAGAGTTACTGCGAAGTTGGTTTATTCTAATTTCTGACATAGTGGGTCTAGTAACTAATAATAAAGCATCAGGCCTTTTTTCCCTGTGAATTGTTATGTTCCTTTAATTTTATGGTTTTGTCATATTGCTCAAAGAAAATTGCAAATATTTTAAAGTGTTTAGTGTTCTTCTGAATCCATATTTGAAGCTGAGTGCTGAGGAGAAAGGTCCTGTTTACTTTGTCAAATGTTTTTTCTTCTAATGACACTAATAAATAGTCTCAGCGCACCTTTAGTCCTGTTTTGGCACATCGTGTTGTTGACTAAGTACAGATGAAAACTGTAAGATCAGGAGCCGAATGAGCAGTAACTGAATTGTTTTTGGTTGTTCTCAGCTCTCCTTCAGCTGACTGTAAGGAGAAAGTGATGGAGGAGAACCAGCAGCAGAATAAACGAGAGGAGAGGAGAAAGAAACAGAAAGCAGTGGAGATGATCCATGTCAGTTCTAACAGCAGCATGGAGAACCAGTGCGCTCAGCAGTAGGACTCATCAGGCCTGGACTACACACCGTCACATGTGGACATGTATATGATGCTGCTGTCATTTCTAATAGTCTTTAAAATAAAACAACTTCTGTTCTTATAAATATTATAATTATTAATTTGTTCTACAATTGTACCCACACATTTAAATCTATTAAAATGTTTCCAACATGCTGTATATTCATTTTTTCAATTCTTTCTTGTTACATTCTGTGATATGCAACATATATTGTTAAAATACATCAAGTGCAGTAAGTATACATACGTTTCATATAAATATACTCTATAACTTTCTTCTTTTCTCTAGCCCACATAATTAAACATTTCAGTTACATAAAACATGTGAATTTTGATTTTATGTACTGTATAGCCTGTATAATAAATATGTATGAAATATCCGACACCAGCTGCTGTATCCCGTTATTTGAATATATAACACGCTACACCAGCAGGGGGCAGCAGCGGGAGGTTTGTGTACTGTACCGCAGCTCAAAGAAGAGAAGCTGTACGTGGACCAATGAGAATCGACGGAAAAGTAGCAGACGCTTTGGGATGTCTGCGGGAACTGTCAGAACAGGTGGAGGCGTCGCTTCAGCTTCACTGCTGCTCTACTGTCGCTCGGACTGGTGAGTGTTTGCTAACCTGAACGCTGTCGCCGTCATGGAGCGGTCCTTGGTCGCAGCTTTATGGTTCCTCGGGATTTGGGAGCTGTCAGCTGTTACTTACGTGCTCATTGTGTCGCCTAGATATGCAAACATGTGTAGAGCTGTCATTGTGTTACTTTTTTGGTAGCCAATCTGTAAAGACGCTCACAGCCCGGTGAGTCACGCCGGACTATTCAACATCTTGACTTTTTAAATCGACATATTTCTCAAAGCAGATTGTCCCCAGAGACGGAACAAAAAGTAGTTTAGTCCCATTTTTGGTTAAAACACGAGATTAGAGAGTGGAGTTTGCCCCGGGCTGGAGAACAGTAATAAGGACCAGTGGTGTAGTGGTTAACCCTCCTCGTAAAGCTCATGCAGCACCTGAAGGTAGCTATGATTCTGACATGCCATGCTGTGTTTTCCAGTCACCATGAAGCTGATACCCTTTCATGTCGGGGGAACCTCCTTCATCCTGGCCGTCCTCTTGGTGCTGCATTACTGTCACATAGCCAGCATTCTTGGCCACAAGGTAGGTTAAACCTTTTGCTCTGATAAGGTGTTTAAAGCTCTCAGATGTTCTCGAGCATGTCATTTAGTTTCGCTGCACCTGTGATAAGATGGATTTGGCAGCAGTGATGGGTGGAAAGAGCTGCTGGTCAAAGCCTGGCTGTGGGCAAACTGAAGACTCGTGAGAACATCCACGTGTGTTTCAGCTGCAGCTGGGACTTGGCTGGAATTAGCGGTGTGATAAAAGCGTTACCTTTTAACCCAGGTAACCCTCACTGGTAACCAGTGTTGGTCAAGTTACTTGAAAAAGGTAATCCTGTTGTTTTACTGATTACTTATTTTCAAAAGTAATTAATTATTTAGTTACTTTTTAAAAACA